GAGGCGGGAGGTTAGGGCAGGGAAGACTGGCTGGGAAGACTTACCAGTCAAAAGGTCTCAGGACACACGTGCAGAACAGTCCCTGTAGAGTGTACTCATTTTCCTCCTGTTATTTGGTCCAAACTCGCTCTGCAGAGCGCATTTCTTTTCCTATCTTTAATAAATGTAAAACCTCCCTACCTTTTGTGCTTGTCTTGACCAGTTATTGCTCAGGTCAGAAAGAACCTAGAAATCACCTCTAGTGGGAGACTCTGGCGCCCACACCTGGTGACAGTTGGACACCTCTTCACGGAGAGTAACATGTCCTTAGAAATAAAGGAAACCGGGCAGCAACCTCTGCAAGCATCTGGGGCAAGGACGCCCCAGATGCAAGTGGGGGCCCCCCAGTAGAGGACATCCATCAAGCTGGTATGGCCACGACGGTGGGCAAAGAGGAGAGCTATGCAGATGCGGCCAGCATGGGGTGGCCACCAGCTGCTACCCCTGCTTGTGGGTCGTATGAGGGCCTGGCAGAGGGCTGCCCAGCTGCAATCAGGAGTCACTCTGCTTTCTGCGTTGGAAATGGATGAGGTGAGGGCAGGAGATGCAGTGAGAAGGAATTGGATTCTTTGTCATTCGAAGATGGGACAGATTTTGCAAAGAGGTTATGTGTGGAGTTTGAAAGAGCCAAGACCAAGTCCAAGAGTTTGGTAGGAGCGCTGGAAAGAATGGAGCTGGTGTTCACCTCTGGGTGGGGGCAGCTAAGGCAGCAGAGCCTTGGGCACTGGGAGTTCAGGTGGAGAGTGTTGGACACTAGTTTGGGGTTGAGGGAGGCAGAGGACAGGAGACGCCGCCTGCGCTGCTGCTGCTCCCGTGTGACACTCCAACGTGGTGCTGTGAGGGGAAAGGAGCCAGAGTAGACAGGAAAGAGGGTTCTGACCCTGGATTAAAGGTAATGGTGGCAGGAGCCATTTCAGTGGAGTGGTAAGGACAGGATTGTGTGGAGAATGGGCTCCCAAGTGACAGGAGGCATGGACGTGGGCACAGGAATAATTGCATTGTGAAGAAGACTGAGGACAGGAGCAGCAGCAGGAGAGGGAGGTGGAATCAGAGGAGACTCTGCTTGCCGAGGCAGAAGGCAATGTGCGCACACATCCACAGGTCCACGGGATCAGCCCAGTGGAGAGGAAGACTGGGCACAGCTGGGGAGAAATTCCAGAGCAGAGTCCTTGAGTGGAGGAGAGAGGTCAGGGTCTTGTGCAAAGTAGAAGGAAGATCTAGATAGGAGCATGGGGAATCCATCTGTGAAAGGGGTGAATGCAGAACAGAAGGGACGGGAGAGGGGGCAGGTGGACAGGCTCTGGTGGCTTGGCTTCTGTGTTCTCAGTGATTGAGGAAACGGAGTCTCAGACAAGAGGGAGAAGATGACAGAGGTGGTGCTGATGCTTCAGGGAGGGGCAGAAGATGTGACGTGTGTTTAAGAAAGGGATTGCAGGCAGTGGACACACGCTCACTTAGAACTGTCACGTGATGGTCTCCGCCCATGTCCAATCCAGGGGTGTGGGTGGACGTGACACCTGCCCACAGCCGTGACACATCAGAAAAGTGCGAAGGAGTTGAGGGTGTCTGAGGGAAGGATGGCGGATCTTTAGACCATGGGGCACAAAGGCGAGCATTGAAGGTCAGTGGAAAATTAAAATGTCTGTGGGTTGCCGGACCAGCGAGGGTCATAGAGCACTGGGAGGACAGTGGGTGCTACAGAAAGTGACCTGCGAGGCTCAGAAGGTGGGGTGCTAGGAACAGAGGCAAGGAAGAGCCACAGGTACTGGCAGAGAGAGAGAGAGAGCCAGGAATTCTGAAAGTGTGACCGCAGGTGGAGGAGCTCCTTGGTAAGATTCAGCCTCAGATTCCACACAGCCTTTTACAGTGTGGTGTTTTAGCTTCTCCTGACAAAGTAGCTTTTGTCTTCTGATTCCCTGGCTGCAGCTGGGTTTCGGGACTTGCCGGAGGTGACGGAATGCAGTAGTCATGGCAGTGACTGCCGAGGTCATGGTTTAAGACTCTGCTTTGACTTATTCTAACGCTGCCCTAGAAGCTAAGCTGCCACCTAGAGGACACTTGGGCACCACCCTGGACCCCCAAGTCCAACCAGCAGATGGGAGTGTTTCTGCTGAGACCAACAGCCAGCCAGAGTTTCCCTGTCGCCGCCGTTTTGAGCCTCTTAGATTTTAAACTTATTTGTTAGGCTACAAAGACAAAGAGGCACGGTCGGGAAATGAAATCACCAAGGAGTACAACAGGAGAATGCCAGACAGTAATGTCAAGCCACCGCTAATGTCTGGGTTTGTGAGAAAAAAAAAATGGATTCTTGTTTCTTTCTTTTCTCATCTATTTAGGGCCAATTGCATCAAAGCCACCGCATGTCTGGGTTTGTGAGAAAAAAAAAATGGATTCTTGTTTCTTTCTTTTCTCATCTATTTAGGGCCAATTGCATCCTACCTGTCCAATGAGGTCTCCATGAAGCTATTTTCCCACCTCAAAATGGTCTAAAAATCTCCAAGCTACAACACGTGTCTTTCTTGGCAACTTTTAGCAGTGGAAACAGGAAGGACAAGGGGTCTGACTCGGACGTGTCCATCAGTGTCCAGCAGGGCAGCACCAAGGGGGCAGACCACAAAGGACCCTCGAGTTCTCTCCCCCGGGCTCATCAGGGTGCAGTTTGCAGAAGGCTGTGGTGACCAAGTCTGAGGGACAGCAGAGGCCAAGCAGGCAGGGACAGACAGGGATTAGCGACTTCCTGGATGGAAGAAATATGGGGTGAAGTGAGGCGCCGGAAAGAGAGGCTGGGAAGGAAAATGCAGTGCCAAGAAGGGCAGGACGGTGAGGTGGTGGGGAAGGGTCAGGTGGGCAAGCCCCTATCATCTGTGAGTCACCTGCTAAGTGACATCTTTTGCTGTGTAGACAAACCCGGCACCCAGGGACCCAGCCGCAGAGATCTCCAGGTTACCATGGCACCCCCGTCCCCCACCCCGGAAATTAAGAGTTGAACCTGCAAAGTTGGCCTCTCTGACATGCAGACCACGGGAGGCTGAGGTGCCTGGACCCAGAGCATAAGGCTCTGGGAGCTGAGGCTGAGTCAGGAGAGGAGGAGCAGGGCAGGGCTGAGTCACTATCAGCTGTCGGGTGATGCACAAGACACAGGGGCAAGCGTGTGGTGTGGTGGAGGAGGGCGGAAGAGGGCCACACCAAGGAGCCAGAGTCTCAGACAGGCTCAGGGTGGAGATCAGTCTTTCTCTTTCTTTTGTCTTCTCTTTTTATTTTCTAAAACAGGGTCTCACTCTGTAGTCCAGGGTTGCCTTGAACTCACTATGTAGCTTAGTTGGCCTTGAACTCAGAGATTCCCCTGCCTCAGCCTCCCAAACGCTGGGGTTATAGGTGTGCACCACCATGCACAGCTGGGCTGGAATCTTCAGACACCACCTCAGTGAATAAATGAATGCTTCCCACAACATCTAGAGGCCACAGCCATAGCAGAATGCCCATCCCTGTGAGTGACATTCAGTGGCAAAAGCAACTGGAAGATGCATTAGTCAGCTTCCCATCACTGGGACAAAACACCTGAGATGATCACCTTCTGAGGAGAAAGCCTTTATTTTGATTCATGGTTCAGAAGTTTCAGTCCTTGGTGGTTTAGCCTCGTCACTTTAGGGCCTGTGGTGAGGCATTCACCATGGCACGGGATATGGCAAAGTAAGACAGTCCCTTCAGGGCAGTCCAGAAGCAAAACAACAGAGAAGCAGGGGTTAGGGCCTAGGGAGAGGAAGTGAGGTCACTGGGGGTCCCAGCATCCTCTCAAGGACACGCCCCCCAATGACTTCACTTCCTCTCCTCAGGCCCCACCTCCCAAGGTTCTGCAACCCCCAGCAACATCAGCTGAGGAGCAAGCCTCAATTGCAAGGGCCTTTGTGGGGTGGAGGGGTAGAAGGGCAGGAAGGGGGACAGGGGAAAAACAAGAACCAAGCTATATCAGGCGAAGGTGCAAATTCCCAATGATGACTGTGATAATGTATACCTAAAATGTACCAATGAACTCAATGGAATTTGTAAAAAAGAAAATTAAATAAATAAATAAAATAGAAACGTCCCCATAAATCCCTTATCTTGGTGTCCTCGGTCTTAAAAGGAGGTGACACTGTGTAGATTCGGGGCTGAGCACCCTTGTCGTGCGGAGTTTTGAATGACACACCCTCAGTGGTCAAGTTGCAGAGCTGAGAAGGAGTTTGACCTGAAGCTTTATAGTGCAAAGGCTACACAAAGAGAGGCAGGCTTTGTCTACTTTCATTTATCTACTGGGCATTTGTGGGCAGAAGGGAAGAGTCAAGGTTTTTAGCAAAAACTACTTTTAAGTCCCAACCGGCTCAGGGGAAAACTCGAATCTCAGTCCTAAGGAGCGAGCAGTGGGTGGAGGGCCCAGGAGTCACTTGGCCCATCCCTTCCCTTAGAGCCCTCTGCTCTGTCAGTTTCTGAGATGCTGCTTTCTGTGAGCAAAGGCCACAGGCACAAGCCCAGCCAGCGGCTCTGCAGGTTTCAGTGCCTGCAGGGAAAGACAGCATAAGCAGCTTAGATCTGATATTTTCCTTTTTTTTTTGGTGAGGATTTTGTTTTGTTTTTGAGTCAGGATCTTGCTGTATTGTTCAGGATGGCCTCCAACTCACTGTGTAGCCCAGGTTGGCCTTGAACTTGCAGCGATTGTCCTGCCTCCGGACCCTTGAGTGCCAGGGTTACAGGTGTGTGCCACCACTCTGGGTGAGCTGATGTTTTCCAGGGACCAGGTGTCCTCCGGCTCTTCCTGTGAGCATCAGGTGCTCAGTGGCCTCATTTCGCAGCGTGGGAACCAAGTCCTAGGGACCGGCTGAGATTTGAACTTGGCCCATGTTTGACCTTTGCCTAAGACGGGTGGGAGTCGGAAAGGGAAGGCTGCAGGTCCCTCCCGGGGACACCCTCCTTGGTCTGCAGGACCAGGCCGCAGTAGGAGGTGAGTGGGCGAGGCCCCCGGGGGAATCAGCTGCCCTTCTTAGGCCCCATTTACTGGTCAGGTGGTTTTGAGGAACAGACACGAGAGGTTTAAATCCTTGCCTCTGCAATCTTAAAAAAACAAAAAGCCTCCCGCTGACCACAAAAACCCTGTGTCTTCCCCGCCCCACGATGACTCCATCCAATTGCTCCACAAGTTCTGGGAACAGCTGTCACCTCCTCGCCGAACCCAAATCCACCCAGCGCCACCCTCCTGGTCCCACTGAGCCCACAGTCACAGAACAGAGAAAGTCCCTGCTGGGACCCCAGACACCCACGGGGCGGGCGGTGTGGCCATCCAGAAGCGCTCAAGCATAAAAAAGAAGAACCTGCCGGCTTCTTATTCTGACAGCCAGCGACACTCGCGCCCTGTCTCCAGCATCTCACCGGAAGCCCAGCTTCCTACTCAGGCGAGACCTGCACCGTCTGCTCAGAAGACACCAAGAGACTCTCTGCACAAAGCCCCTCGGATCTAGGGTAAGTGTTGCCTGGATTTTCTGTGCCATTGCTTCCTGTTAATCTTAACATGCAGCTGCTCAGGGCTCCTCAGAGGCAGAGACCACTCCAGAGGCCAGGCTGGTGTCTGGGTAGCACACAGGTGTGTCCGAGTCCATAAAGCAACTAATGTCAGGCAGCATGGACCAGATGGAACTGAGGCATAGCGGCAGGCATTGAGTCGTAGCAATCTTGGGAGCACCGGGTGGATTTATAAGCCTGGGGTGCAGGAGCAAAGCAGTCTGAGGGTGTGTGGGTACTGGAGAGGGAAACCAGGCAGGGCCTTTCCACCAAGCCACATCCCCAGCATTTTCTTTAGAGACAAGGTTTTGCTGCATTACTCAGGCTAGGCTCCAACTTGTGATCCTCCTGCCTCAGCCTCCCAGGGGGCTAGGATTACATGTATGTGCCACCACACCACGCTGAAAGGAAACTTTCTTATGTAATTTCCTTGTGATCGTGCTATCTCCTCTGCCAGGTAAGCATATCTTATGTAATTTCTTGTTGGAGACTGATTAAAAAGAGATAAGATGTGACTTTCATGGAAAGTTATTAAAAAACAAATTACTTGTCACATTTCCCTCTGTAAAAGAAAACCGAATATGGGGTAGCAAGTGGGAAACATTAGGGGAACCACTGAGGATGCAAGGGTGCTCTGATACTAAGTCAATTTCCTGAGCAGGCCAGGCGGCTTTCAGGGTCACAGACCACCCTAACTGTGCTCAGGCCTTCGTAGACTCTCGGGCCAAGGACACAGGGCTGGACAGCTCCAGGGACAGCCGACCTCTCTGCAGCGACCTTGGGACGGGTTCCACAGCAACGGGGTCCCTCCCCGGGTCAGCGTGCTTGGAGTAGCTGCCTACAGTTATCAAGGGGTCTGGGAATTTAGGGAAATAGCAACTAGGGTGGGGGCCGGGTCAGCTGACAGTGGTGACTCAGCTCCTTTGCCCAGAATAGGGCTCATGGGCACAGCCTGGCCAGCCCCCTCCGAAGTGCTGACTGTCAGCCCGAGCCGCCTGCCTCGTCAGCACCTGCAGCGGCCGTGGAGGGTAGAAATCCTGGCTCTCTGAGTGACACCTGGGCTTCTCAGAACAGGACAGATTCAGACTCCTCCAGGGAGTGGAGGAGCCCTGGGGATAGATTGGATGGGAAACAAAAGCTCTCCCCGCCTCCCGCCCCAAGTACCATCCCTTCCGGCCAGGGCACCTGTTCCCCACCCCCCTGCCTCAGTCTCCCCTGGCCAAGACGGACGCGTGGCCTTCACAAGCAGGAAAACTCCTCACTGAGGGGAGCGGAAGGAGGGTCCCAAGACGGCCAGGTCCTGACAGGTGAAGGACTGGCAGCTGGGTCCAGGCGCTCCCTCCTGATGGCCTCATTTATTTTTATCTACCCATTTTCCGACGTGTAAACATTTCAGTGGACGCACCGATGTCTATTCACGGGCTGTGGTGTGATATTCCAGTGTGTGTGCACAATGTGAATCTATCACCTCAGGTGTTTAGCTCTTCCTGGGTTTAAGAACGGGCAAAACCCTCCCTAGGAACTATTCGAATCTGCGGTTATTGTCAACCGCAGGTGTCACCCTGTGCCATGGGGCATCCAAAGTCGCTTCTCCCGCCAGCCGCAACCCCTGTACCCATTCACCGTCCGCTCTCTCCTGCCAGACCCCTAATCCTTCCCAGACTCTGGAAATGGCCATTCTATTTTCTGCTTCTCCGGAATCAGCTTTTCAGACATTTCCAGCTGCCCTTCACATGGGAGGAACTGTCATGGTCCATCGCTGCTCAGAAATGTCACTGTCTGGGCAGTCAACCAAGAGACCGGGAAGGCCTTCAGGGGACGCGGGGCAGAGCCTGGGATGCTCCGGGGGGACAGGCCCAGAGGGGGCAGCTGCAGGAAGAGGTGTTGCCAAATGTCCTGCAAGGGGTCGGGGAGCCCTGCCAGGTGGGGGTTATTTTCTCATCTGCTTGGGGACTGAGGTTCAGACAGTGGATTCTTTTCTCGGAGTCCACACAGCCAGTCTATGACCCCAGGGCCTTGCTCCCCTTGGGGTGGCATCTTCAACCAGCAGTGGGAAAGGATTTCAGAGCTGTGCTAGAAAGCAAGTGGGAAAGGAGGCCCCAGGCAGGCGAGCTGTCTAGTGGTGCCTTTTGGTTTGTTTCAAGGCACATCTGGGTAAAAATATCTAAGTGCTGTTTCAGCAGCAGCCCAGCTTCCGTCTGGACACTCTGTGAGGTCGCCTCATGGTCAAGTGCTTTCTGAGCTCTACACAGATGTACACACGCACACACACACACGGCTCCAGCTTCCCTCTGAACCCTCCACACGCAGACACAGCCGGTCTGCACTTTTGGTTTGTTTCAAGGCACATCTGGGTAAAAATATCTAAGTGCTGTTTCAGCAGCAGCCCAGCTTCCGTCTGGACACTCTGTGAGGTCGCCTCATGGTCAAGTGCTTTCTGAGCTCTACACAGATGTACACACGCACACACACACACGGCTCCAGCTTCCCTCTGAACCCTCCACACGCAGACACAGCCGGTCTGCAGTTACCTGGGACGCTGTTTCAGCAGCAGCCCAGCTTCCGTCTGGTCACTCTGTGAGGTCGCCTCATGGTCAAGTGCTTTCTGAGCTCTACACAGACGTACACACACACACACACACACACACACACACACACACGGCTCCAGCTTCCCTCTGAACCCTCCACACGCAGACACAGCCGGTCTGCAGTTACCTGGGGACCCACACAGTGATGAGACCTCATTGCGGCAGCACTGGGGCTTGCAGTGAATGAGCTTCACGTGACCGGACATCTCTGGCCTCTGTAGGTCCAGCAGTTGTGCAGCTCTGTAAGTTTACTCCCCACAGCCAGGACAGTTCTCCTTCCCAGAGTTCTCCTGGGGACTCCGGGAGCCAAAGCCATCACACTGCAGTCAGAGGCAGGAGAGCCATTGGGGTCCGGGCTGGCCCCGGAGGAACCCACCCAGGGTGTGAGTGCCAGTTCTCCTGCTCCGCAGAGCTGTGTCCCTGGGTGCGTTTCCTAGCACCCGGCACCTCTGTGCCGCACCCTCTGAACGGGACCAAGAAGGCTCCCACAATGGCTGTTGAGCACTCAGTCTGGGGCCTTAGCCTAGGATGTGCGTAGAAAGCCTTCACCGTGGTGGGAAGATCTGCCCTCCTGTGCAGTCGGCCCCCAAGCTTGTCCTGTGTAATCCCACAGCTGAGGTAACGTGCTCGTGATCTGCTTCCTGCTGCCCTTCCAGCTGGACTGCAGGGGCTCCCTCCTGGCTCGCCGTTGTGCCCCCAGGCCCTCGGTAAACATTTGTCACGGCCTTGTCTTTCTTGCCCAGAGCCTCGGGCCCTTGCTAGGAAAGTGAGTAACAGAAACCACTGTCCTTGGCCCACAGGAAGGCCGGGATGGAGAGCCCCGCCACCACAGAGAACTACAGCATGACCACCGAATACGACTATGGCGACACAACCCCGTGCCAGAAGGTGGCCGTGAGGGCCTTCGGAGCCCAGCTGCTGCCACCCCTGTACTCCCTGGTGTTCATCCTCGGTGTGGTGGGCAACGTCCTGGTGGTCCTGGTGCTCATGAAGTACAAGAGGCTCCAGAGCATGACCAGCATCTACCTGCTCAACCTGGCCCTCTCGGACCTGCTATTCCTCTTCACGCTCCCCTTCTGGATCGACTACAAGCTGAGGGACAACTGGGTCTTCGGCAACGGCATGTGTAAGCTGCTGTCCGGCCTCTACTACGTGGGCCTGTACAGCGAGATCTTCTTCATCATCCTGCTGACCGTCGACAGGTACCTGGCCATCGTGCACGCCGTGTTCGCCCTGCGAGCCCGGACCGTCACCTTCGGCGTCATCACCAGCATCATCACCTGGGCCTTGGCCATCTTGGCTTCCGTCCCCGGCCTGTACTTTTCCAAGATCCAGTGGGAGGTCACGCGCCATACCTGCAGCCTTCATTTCCCTTATCAGAGCCTGTGGGCCTGGCAGCGCTTTCAGGCTCTGAAGCTGAACCTGCTGGGGCTCCTCTTGCCGCTGCTGGTCATGGTGGTCTGCTACGCGGGCATCATCAAGATCCTGCTCCAGCGGCCCAGCGAGAAGAAGGCCAAAGCCGTCCGGCTGATCTTTGTCATTATGATCACCTTCTTCCTCTTCTGGACCCCGTACAACCTGGCTATATTTGTTTTCGCTTACCAGGAGCACATGTTCACCAACTACTGTGAGCAGAGCAGACAGCTGGACCTGGCCCTGCAGGTCACGGAGGTGATCGCCTACACCCACTGCTGCGCCAACCCCATCATCTACGTCTTCGTGGGAGAGAGGTTCCGGAAGTACCTGCGCCAGCTGTTCCAGAGGCACGTGGCCGCGCGCCTGGCCAAGTGCCTGCCCTTCCTCTCCGTGGACCGGCTGGAGAGGGCCAGCTCTGTGTCTCCATCCACCGGGGAGCACGAGCTCTCTGGTGTGCTCTGACTCCGACCCTGGAGGCCCGCGGAGGTCCTGGTGGGCGCGGCCTGCAGGGCAGGGAGAAGGAAGGGGTGGCGGGACCGTCCCCACCAGACCCGACACCCTGCACCACGCCTTTGGGACAGAGAGCGCTCGAAGGTGGTCTAGACTGCGTCACCTGGGGTTTTGATTTTGCTGTGACCCCCCCACACCGTGGAGGGGGCAAGGGGGCGGCACGGGACGTTCCAGAGACTGGGACTGTGGGCTGCAGGGAAGGGCTGAGGTCCAACCAGGTGCCCAGTGTGTGAGCACTGGCATCTGAAAACGAAACAAAGCGCTGCAGCGCCCCAGTGAACTTGGAAATGGCGATTTCCACTGGTGCTGCCCCGCAGAGTCAGAGTCAGAGCCGGCGCGAGGCCTGCAGCCGCCCTGCCCCAACTTCTGGAAACTCTGGGAACACAGAACTCGGGGTGGCCAACTTGATACCCACGGGGAAATGGGGTTGGGGAAGAGCTGTTGGCAGTGAAAGGAAGGGGAGAAGGGTGGGCTGGGGAGTTGCCCGCCCGGCAGGTGGGCACACAGACTTCAGAACTGAGAGAGCCCCTGAGCTGGAACCAGCTCGTCCGCCAAGCTCCCCGGCTCCTCAGCTCCAGCCAGCCGAGGTCCCTGCTTCTCATTGTTTGTCTGCTGCCCCTCAGGAAAGCCCAACGACACCACGAAGAAAGAAAACAAGCATCGAAGTCATCCGTCCTCTCACTATCCAGCCAACCACTGTGCATCTTGGACGCGTTTTCAGTCCTGTGTACTTTCAGGACGGGGACCGAGCTGCCTTTGGTGGTGCTCACGGTTCCATTGCTGTATTTAATGAGCAGTACTTTGCAGCCGCCTTCCCGGGTCAATAAATCACTTCAAAGCGCTGCTTCTGGTGTCCGTATTGAGCAGAGCAGAGCTGCTCCCTGATTTACTCTCCCAGGGACCCTGCCACTGCTGGAAAGTTGGTCCCTGTTTCCGCGGATCAGGCTAACCCACAATGGTGGGGCCAGGCTGCACGTGCACAGTGGTGTCCAGGGAGGACGGTCCCCAGTCCCACGGGTGGACACGTGCAGGGATCCCATAGCACGGCCAGAGGGGTGGTAGCAGGACAGCAAGCCAACCAAAGGGCTCCTCACCTGGGACAGGACACACAGGCCAGCCTCTCTCCTTGTTGCACACAAGAGCTGCACAGCAAGCGCTAGGTAGAGGCTGCCTGAATGGACGACTCCCCTCTCCTGTTTCCTCAGCCGCGAGGTAAGGATGAGCAGGTCAGCACCCACCTCCTGAGGAGGCTCCCAGGACCCACTGAAACAAAGCAAAAGAAATGGGCAGGCTTTCCAGCTTTATCTGCCTTCCCTCTGCCTCCTACCTGCCAGTGCCTCCTCCATTCAGCCTGGACGCTCTGCTCTTCCTCAACCCCTTGCCCTCTCCTCCGGGATCCCAGCCTCACCGGTGGTGTTGATCCCACTGTTTCTTCCCCACTTCATCCTTGCAGAAGGGCTGTGCCCGGACAGCACAGACAGCTCCCAGGCCCTCCAGCATCAACATTCTGCCACATGGGCTTCCAACGCATTATTCTTCCAGAGACAGACGGGGGGAGGGACAGAGAGGGACACTTCTGGCGCCCAGAATGCTTTTACCAGCCCCAAGAAAACTCTCCCACATAACTGGAGAGGCACTTGATGCAACATCACCAGGTGACCTCCAACCCTTTCCCAATTTTTCTCCCTCAGCGAAGAATGTCCTTGCCAATCCCTGGACCCAGGATCACATTTACGTTCATTCTCTTTCAAGCAAGAGAAATTCCTCAAGCTTGTGTTTATGATGTCACCATCTATGAACACTGTTGCCTGCAAACGGTTTCTCAATTCGGAGTCACTGGTGTTTCCTGAAGATGAGATGCAGGTTATGCAACCCGGGCCACTTTTTAGGCGGAATAACTTCTTGCGGTGAATCTGGAGTACAGCTCAGTTGTCAGAGAATACAGTGGCTTCGTTTACTTCCCAGAGATCTTTATTTCTCCTTGTTGTTGAAGGGTGTCAGGGCTGCAGGTCACTGGGCACTGGCAGCATTTCCGTGCAGCGCTCTGCGGCCGACCTTCTGTTGCCTCCCCCTCCGCGCTCCCAGGGAAGTTAGCAATGATTGCGCCATCATCACCCAGGAGGAAATGTGTGCTTCTCCCTCTGCCTGCTTTTAATATCTTCCTTATCCTCTACTCTCAGCATTTTTTGCTTTATTTATGTTCGTCATCTTTAGAGTTATTGGATAAGATTTACTGGATTTTTAAATTGCTTTTTCCCTAATTTGGGAAATTTGGATGGAGTAGCTCTTCAAAGACTTTTTTTTTTAATTGACAAATTCTCTTTCTTTGTGTTCAGAGATTCTGATTACACCTTTGTTAAAGCAATTAGTATTATTTCACATACCCCTTTGCAAATGAAAACACATTCACTTTCTGTTAGGATCAGATACCTTCCAGGAACTCAAATCCGCCGGCCTGCCTTCCAGCCCCAGTAGTGCGCCCTTCCGACCCGATCATCATGAATTACTTCAGACGCGGAGCCGACCATCTCTGATCTCCCTTGTTTCTTTCATGTGGTTCCCATCTCGCTACTGACATTTGATCTCTGTTCTCCCCTCGGAAACACTTATTCCTTTAAATTCTTGCTCCTCCTAGTTGATTCAAAGTCCTCACCTGATATCCAACTTCCCAGTCCTCCTGGGGTCCCTACTGACTTTAAAAAAAGGTTAGGGTCAAGTTCTCCCACATTTTCACCTCAACTGCTTATCACACCCCACAGTGCCTTGGCTGATGCATCGCAGGCAGCCTGGGTTATCTTCTTCTTCTTCTTCTTTTTTTTTTTTTTTGTTCTTTTTGAGACAGGGTCTCACTATGTAGTTCAGACTGACCTGGAACTCACTATGTAGCCCAGGCTGGTCTCGAACTCACAGTGATCCTCCTGCCTCAGCCTCCCAAGTGCTGGGATTATAGGCGTGCACCACCACGCCCGGCTGGGTTCTTACCTTCTTGAAGGAAGTAGTGAGTTTAACCTCTTCAAGGGGCTCCTGAGGTCATCGGTGTGTCCTTGTGGCTCTAGCGATTTAGTGGGGCTCTCTGTTGGGCTGTGTCTATCTCCATTTTTACCTCAGTTCTAGGGCTTGTCTTTTAACACTGTGGTCCTCAACACTGGGAACTTGTTAAAGAGTCAAATTCTTGCTGGGCCTAGTGGTGCCCACCTGTCATCCCAGCACTGGGGACACTGAGGCAGGAGGAGCTCTGTGAGTTCAGGGCCAGCCTGGGATGCATGGTGAGCCCAAGGCCAGCCTGAACTACACAGCAAGACCCTCTGTCCAAAAAGAAAAAAGGAAGGGAGTGGGGGAGGGAGGAGGAAAGAAATGCTAATAAATAAATAAGTAAAGTTCTCAGGCCTTCCTTGGAACTACTGAAGTAGAAACTCCATTAACAAGCCCCTTAAGGGCCCCTGAGGAACACTGACCTTAGGGAACTGCTACTCTGGGGCATGGCTTTTTCCTGTCAGGGAACCTTAGTCCCCTCCCAGTGTCCTGCTGACCAGGCCTCTCCGCTCAGCCCTCAGCTCCTCACCTCCGCCCTCCCCCAGTGTCACTGTCCTCCTCAGGACAGCCCGGGACGCAACAGGAAGTCCCGGCAGAGACTTGGGAGCCCCGCCTCTGTGCAGCCTGGGGCCCCCGCTCCGAAAACTAGGCCTCCTCAGCACCCGAGGACCAGAGCGCCCTGCCTCGGTTCTGCCCGGGCCTGTTTCCTGCACCACAGCAGGGGAGCGTCCCTGGGCCTGTGCCGAGACCCCGGTCCCTGAGGCGCTCGCTCCATGCACTTCCGTCTCCTCACAGATGATAAATACCCTCTGCTTCCTCCTGCCATGGACCTGCAAGCAGTTGCCTCATACTTTGTTGGCAACTGCAGCATCAGCTTTTGCATCGTGACTAAACCACGTCTACTCTTTTATTTTCTACCCATTCCCCACCCCTCATCCCCTCCTTATTTGCAAAAGCATTTTTCCATTATTTTCCTTCTATTTTTTCCTTGTCCTTTCCCCCGCCCCTCTCCCTTGTTCCATTTCTCATTTGAACATTTTCTCCCCATTTCCCGATATCTATTATACATTTTGATCCTTATTTCCACTTTCAGTTTCTCACACCAGAGAACAATCCAGTATTTAAACGTGTGCTGGATTTATTTTCCTGAAGAGTACAATCTCAAGGCCCATCCATTTAGCTAGAAATGTCTCAAGCTTATCCTTCTTTATGACAGAGTAGTACTCCACTGTACTAAAAAAACCCCACATCTTCTTTATCTACTCATCGGTTGATGGGCCTTTGGGCTGTTTCCAAGATTTAACTATTACAAGCTGTGCTGTATAAACATGGGTGTGCATGTTTTTAATTCTTTCTGGAAGATACCAAGAAGGGCAATAGCTGAGTCAAGTGGAACCTCTAGTTTTAGTTTTTTGAGGCATCTCCACACTGATTTCCACCATGGTTGCACCCGTCTACACTCCCACCAGCAGTGGAGAAGGGTTCCTTTTTCCCCATAGCCCCCCAGTATCTGTTATTGGGTCATCAGAAGGCATTCTAAGGTGTTTAATGTGTATCATATTCTTCTGTGTATCATGAAAATTATGTGCTGCTGTTTGGTATGAAGTTTTTAATTTATGTAGATGCTGTTTCTTACTTTGTTAACATAGCACTTGGTTTGTAAGATCATCTATGTTGCCATGAAAAATAGCCCATCCTTTTTACCTGCTGCATAGTATCTCATAAACCATATCTTCTATGCTCCACTTATCTACTCCCCTAGAAGTGGACAACAACTTTGCCTCCAATTCTCTGTTCCTGAAAAGAAAGTTGCAATGTTCTCATTCTGACTGGGGCTGGAAATGTTGGGTCACAGGAAGAAGTAAAGTGAACTCAGCCTGTCATGCATGCAGGCTCTTTCCCCACATGCCCAGCGACCCTTGGCCTGGTCCTGCTCCTAATCTTTGGTAGTTCACCAAGCAAAGTGACACAGAATTGCCTCGCTTTGCATTTCTCTGCTTATTGATGGTTTAAACATTCATTTGTGGACTTGTGAGTTTCTTCTCCATAAATTAACTAGTCATACTTCTCACCATGTTTATTAGCTTTACTGTCATTTCTTACTGATTGGCAGAGGCTTTGTATGTCCTGGATTTTACCATTTTCACTCTTTTCATCACTGCCCATGACTTCTGTCTTTGTAGCATATCTGCATTAGTTTGTTTATGTTGTGCCTTGTTGAACTTTATAGAATTCCTCCATTTTGGTTAATAAAATGAATCAAATTTTGTCCTTTGCTTTGTGCTATTTTTTTTCATCAAGTTTATTGGTACTTTTTAAGTATACACTGCAGTTACATTCATCATTGGGATCTTGTACCTTTACATGACAGATCTTGGTTCTCATTTTTTCCCCATACCCCTGCCCTCCCTTCACCCCCTCCACCCTTCCCTATTTACAAAGACTTTGTTTCCATTTTTTTCCTTTTCTCATATTTTTCTTTTTCCTTATTTCCTTTCCCCTACCCTGCCCACTTCCCCTACACCTTTAGCCCTTTTCTTCCTATTTCACATTGTCAGTTATACAGTTTCGATCTTATTTACACTTTTAGTTTTTCACACCAGAGAAACTATTTGGTATTTAGACATGTGTGTCTTATTTATTTCACTTAAAAGTATGGCCTCAATATGCATTCATTTTCCTATGAATGACTCTAGTTTCTCATTCTTTATGGCTGAGTAGTACTCCATTTTATAGAAAAACCACATCTTCTTTATCCAGTCTCCAACTGATGGGGAATTGGGGTGTTTCCAAGTTTTAGCCACTATAAACTGTGCCACAATAAATATGGGTACGTATATATCACTGTGGTATGATTTTTTAAATTCTTTTGGAAACATACCCAGCAGAGGGATGGCTGGGTCAAATGGAACCTCTAGTCCTAGTTCTTTGAGGTATCTCTATATTGATTTCCACAGTGGTTGCACCAGTCTGCACTCCCACCAACAATGGAGAAGGGTTCCTTCCTCCCCACAACCCTGCCAGCCTTTATTATTGGTTGACTTCTTGATAGCAGCCTTTCTTTCTGGGGTGAGGTGGAGTCTTAGTGTTGTTTTCATCTGCATCTCTTGAATGACCAGTGATGTTGTACATTTTTGCATATATTTATTTGCTGCCTTCTTTGTCTGAAAAATGTCTGTTCATTTCAGAGGCCCATTTCTGAAATGGGTCTTTATATTTGGGGGGGTCTGGTTTTGGGGGGTTCTTTATATATTCTAGATAATAGTCCTTTGTCTGAGGAGTAGCTGGTAAAAAATTTTTCCCACATTGTAGGTTGTCTCTTAGCTCTGTTAATGGTTTCTCTTGCAGTGCAGAAGCTTTTTAGTAAGATGAGATCCCAGTTGTTGATTCTTTGTGCTAGTTCCCCTGCTACTGAGGATTTGTTCATAAAATCTTTTCCTATGCCAGTATTTGTTCATAAAATCTTTTCCTATGCCAGTGTCTTCAAGAGTTCTGCCTAATTTATCTTCCAGTGAGTTTAGTGTTTCTTTTTTAATCATATCTTTAATCCACTTGGATTTTAGTTTAGTGCATAGTGAAAGATAGGGGTCTAGTTTTAATCTTTGACAAGCTGAGATCCAGTTTTTCCAACACCATTTACTATAGAGACTATCTTTCCCCCACTGAGGATGGTTGGCTCCTTTATCAAAGATGAGGTAGCTGAGTACATCTGGAGTTGTTTCTGCATCTTCTATTCTATTCCACTGATCCTCAGGTCTTTTTCTTTGCCAATACCATGCTGTTTTTATCACAGTGGCTTTGTAATATAGTTTCAAATTGGGGATTGTGATACCCCCTGTCATGTCTCTGTTGCCCAGAATTACTTTTGCTATTCTAGGTCTCTTTTGGTTCCAAATTAATTTTTGGATTATTTTCTCTAGTTCTGTGAAATATACTGTTGGAATTTCAATCGGAATTGCATTGAATCTGTATAGCAGTTTTGGTAGTATGGCCATTTTCACTATGTTGATTCTTCCTACCCAGGAGCAGGGAATATCTTTCCATTTCTTTTTTTTCCTTTCTTTTGTTTGTTTTTTTGTTTTGTTTTTTTTTTGTTTTGTTTTTTTGTTTTTTTGGTTTTTTGAGACAGGGTCTCACTATGTAGTTGAGACT